AATGTAAATAATGTTTAATGTAATTATGAAACCATAGCACATGGACTTCAAGTATGTTGATAATTCTATTCTCCAAACTGCCCATACTTGTTCTGTGACTTGGAATCTTGCCTGCGCCATAGCCAGACTAAAGCATTTGAAAAGGAACAAGGACATTTCTCCTATCATTTCTGTAGCAACGTTCAGATTGCTAAGCCTGGTGGAGATACGGCTGAGCTCTCTGGCCCCTGCCGACCTTAGGTGTTTATGATATAATTAGGAGAATAAGGGATTTGGTGGCAGTACATACATTTTCCACTCTCAGGTCCTTTGAGGATAGGATGGATCCATAATAACAACTTTCAATGTGATCCGATGACTAGATAGTCATTCATGCGAATTTGTAGGGTACTACTTTTGTCGCGTATGGGGAAAAGGGCTATGAGTCTTCTTTAATGCTTTTAACATCAAGGCACTTAGTCCTTCTTTCCTCAATGGAGCAAGGAAAGATATTAGCCTGTAAATGATGAGCTTTGAATGCATCATTAAAAATTCTTTTATTTGTAGAGTCCTGAGCTGCTTTATGAAATATTGCAACTGCATGGTGTCAGTCACCTATTAATCCAGTTTTTTTCTTTTTAACCACATCCTGTGGAAATGATATTGGTGAATGTCTTAAGGTTTGAGACTGTAAATTATTATAAGTAGTTAAATACAAGGATACTGTGGCCCATTCCATGGGCAGAATCACTCCTGCAGTGACACCTTAGCCCATAAGTTATATAATTGCTTAGCAATCCACTCTGTCCAACATTCTTCTAATTATACTGGTTCAATAAGAATACATGTTGACTTCCAAGGACTTATTGAAGCAAACATGTAGACTATGGCTAATTAGAGGGCCCTGCAATGCTTTCAGTATTAGAATACCACACTTGTCTCAACTGTACAGGGTATAAATTTGTCACGTGGCTCTTCAGTTAAGGGGCATTTGTGGATAGAGGCACATATGAGAGTGCTTATTAAAAGAGAAGGATTTAGAGTCAGATTAATTTGGTTTCAACTCTTGTTTGCCAAAGATCAGCTCAATGACCTTGGGCAAGTTAATTAACCCCTCCGGGGAATACTACTACTATGCAACTAACAGACGTAGCTATGAAGATGACATAAATTCATGCATAGGAAGAGCCTAATACAGTGTCCAGAACACTGCAGATAATAAAACAGGCTATTGTTTTTATTGCTTTATTATCAGATTTAGTGGAGCAAACGCTGTCTCTCAGCAGCATCTTGCTACCCTGACAGCAATGTTTCTCCACAGAAATAAAGGAGATCATGGCTTTGATCCACGACACTGAGAGGGCCGAGGCAAGCATTGGACAGGGCCATTTCTATGCAGTGTCGCGCTGCTTTCTCTTTCCAAGTACGTAAACGCAGTTCACACTTGGTGATGAGCTTCAGAATATGAGCTCCACGCTAAGTGAGTTGGTTGTTTTCAACTCCTACACATAGTTCTGACAGTATTCACTCTAGGGCTCATTGCATTGTGTTCTTTTAACCCAAGGATGAGGACTACCTTGGGTTCTAGAGAGGAGTTAAATTTGCTACCGGCTGCTGTTTTAAAATATTAACGTCGTGCGTAACATAATTTGTCATTTGAGGCTTAATCCTGACTCTTCCCTGAAGCTGCAGTTAGCTTTTGGGTGGTCTCAGTCTTTTCTGCGTTAGTATCATGGGATCCCAGGCTTACACCTTTTCCAGGCTGAGCCATACGGCTCTGTTTTGTGCAGTCTCTCTTCAGCCTTTCAGGTGGCAACCCCAGGCGCTCACTGTCTAGTGGTCATCGGTTTGGATGTTCTCTCACACTGGTCCTTGGCATCTGGCTGAAATAGTGGTTTCCATCCACAATGATGAAGAGAACCAAACACATTTGCGTAGAAAGTCCTCCACGTCGCTAAGAGATTCACATGCTCTTGGATACTTAAAATTTAGAGTGGCAAAACATTCAACACGTATGACCATTAAGTGAGATCACAGAGTGTGCTTCTGAGAAGAGTGCTGATCCAGGGTTTGTTAAGTGGGAGACAGTATATTTTGTATTGTATTTTAGACTTTTGCATGACTTGACTTTTTGTAGAGCTTCTATTTCAGATTCAGGTAGGATCTGTTGAATTTAAACATCTGTTTAAATTGGTTCTTCACACCTTGAGCTATAAGTTAGCCAACTCGTGAAAAGTCTAATCTATTTTCAATGCTGTGAAGAGGGGTATTTTAGCTAATTTTCATTTTCTTACAGTTTGGCATTTTGGGGTAGGTATTGGCACTGGGTTGTACTCTAAAGTTTATGTAACAATTGTAAGAATGAGACACCAAGGTGAAAGAAATTAAGAAATTAAGAAAGAAATTAAGAAATTAAGAGATTAATTTCTTTCTTTGTGAGCTGACTAAATTCTGGTGAAAATTGGCAGGGCTGAAGTCTTCAGATCCCCTGGACACCATAACCAAGTATCTACCATATACTTGGCATGCCACAAAATGGTCAATAAGTTGAGTAGTACTGTGACTGTTCCGTAGATGTGGAAATTCTGGTGACTCTCATCAATTTTACAATAATAGAGGTTCACTTTTCATATTGTGAAGTACTCTAGAGTGTAATAAGCTGAAGAAAAGTGCTTTTGAGGGGAAATCTTTCAATGGACACATTATTCAGTTCAGGCTTGATGTCTGCTACATTTAACCGCAAGAGAAAATTATAAGATCACACATGGTTCAGTCTCACTAGACTCATCAAAATGTTACAAATGAGAAATTAAAGTAATAGTTAGAAATTGTTCATCTTCATTATAATGGAAAAATTATAGGCAATAATTTGAATGCCTCAGATTTAATGTCCTGCAGTAGACACATAACTTTAAATATCACAAGCTTTTTCTTATATAAGAAACCCAAAGTATAGATAATTTAAAGAGAAAAATAAAAGATAGCTCACAGGAAATGGGGAGACAGATCTTTGCAGAGGGGAAGGGGACCAGGAAATGAAGGGAGGCAAGGGAAGAGAGAAGGGGAAATAGAAATAAGGTGCGTTCTATACGTGTACCAATTCCCCACCACGAATGTAATTATTAGGTACTGCAAACATGTACTAATAGAAATAAAAAATAGAAATGTGACAGTATTCTGACCCCTTGACTATTGAGCAATCTATTCATCCATAATTTAAAAATATTATCCTGTATTTTCCAAAAATACAGTGAAAAGATTTATATGCCAGTGAAAAAAGAAAGAAAAACATAGCCTCTGAATTTTAACTACCTTAAGAATGGTCAATCTAGTAACTTTTCATTGAAAATTTATGTATGGTATGCAAAATCAGACACAGAAACAGGGGTTGAGAGTAACAAAGCAAAGTGATTTGAGGTTTTAAAAAATATCCTTGTTGGCCGGGCATGGTGGCGCACACCTGTGCTCCCGGCACGCTGGGAGGCTGTGGTCGGAAGATGACAAATTTGAGTCCAGCCAGGGCAGCTCGAGGACTTAGTGAGATCCTGTCTCAAAAATGAACTAAGAATGTAAAGGCGTGAGGATATCGTTCAGTGGGAAGGCCCTAGGGTTCAAACTCCACGTTGAATATTTTAATTCTACTCCATCAACGGTTATCCTCAACCTCATTTCAAAAATGGAAGTGCAGTGGCTACAGGTGTTTCTCACTGACCTTCTCCTAGTTAAGTGGTCAGTATGCAGGGCTGCCCCCTGCACAAGTTTAGATAGCAGTAGCTGCCCCAGTCTCTGTTTCTAAATAATGACCACCCGTGGTCCCTGGAGATTCATTTATGTAACAGTGTGAACACTTCCTCCCTTTGGTCCGACCTCTTCCGTCCTTGAGAAGGGAAGGAGGAAGAGCAGGAAAAGTAGAAGAAACAAGATGAATGGAGGGAAGTTTAGGGAAACCTGGGATTGATATTTTTATTTCTGGCTTTAGACATCTCCAATTTTTCTTTTCAGTATCAGGTTTCATAATTAGAATTTGATCTGTGGGTTGCTTTTAGGAGAGTGCTGAGTTAAAAAGAGTTTGGGTCAAGTTGTGATTCAAAGATGAGCTGAAACCCACGGAGGTTTTATTCAAATGTAATTTCCAGTTTTCTTTGTCATCTCAAAGTTGTAGGATGTCACTTAATACAGTAGTTAAATGTGATGAGGTAGAAAGTAGATCATTTAAATTGTCATTACATTATAATTTCCAATAGATTTAAATCTGAGACAAACATTGTTGGTAGCAGGGCAGGTTATATAGATCAGAGTAAATTTTTTATTTTATTTTTAAAAGTCAGGTGCTCCACAGCAGGCCGCCTTGAGCAGGGGCCACACACTGAGCATCCAGGCAATGGTTGAGGTGAGCGCAGGGAGTACCTTTAGCCCAAGCTTGACAAGCCCTCACAATTGTGGGAGAAATACCTGGCTTTCCTGCGAATGCTAGCTCCAACTTCCCACAAAAGATTTTTCAGTGGTTTTACAGTTCTACAGTTCTATTAATGAAAGTCTGTACAAGCCTAATGAGCTGTCAGTCAGGTGTCAGCTTGGCATCTAATCACCATGTAATCGTTGGTTACTGTGAAAAAAAGTTCTTCTAAATAATAAAGTGATTTATAGGTAAGCCTTCGGAAACAACTGGTTAGAAATTACCTTTATTTACAACATATTCAAGCGAGAAAGAAAGAAACAAACAGACCACTAAAAAAGCCAGAACATTCCCTTTTCTTTCACACAGAATGCTTAAATATGTATTTTTTTTCCTTAGCATTTGTCAAGCACTGTAGTGGATTCTTCTTCCCCATGCTGAAGAAGTTTTTAATTGGTTTCATAGTTAACTAGCTCACGAAAGTACTGTAAAAACAGAAAATTGTTTTCTCACATGTATTTATTTATTTATTGTGACACGGAGACTGTTTTAACCTTTAATATCACCATGAAGACATTATTTTTTTAAAAAAATTAAAATTGTCAATAAGAAATTCATTTCTTACCTTGTCAGAGGGTTTGAATGGATTTCCTTGCCCACTAATTCCACCACTGATACTAAATCCAAGGCCAGGATTCTTTTCTATTCTCACACAAAACTAGGTGAAAAAATTTAAAAAGTAATCAAATAGCTATCAAATCTAGACATTTTCAAATCACTTTATCTCAGTGGAAAAGATTCACATTTCATACGGATTAGCTTATGTTGACCCAGTATCTAAACTCTAACTAAAATGCTCAATGTTTCTGTGTGAAATTACCTGAGCAAGCAGACATTCAGAAGTGCTTGTTTGTTAAATTTTGATGAGCAGGTTCCAAAAATTCAGTCTCATGTACACTTAAGAGATTACGTATTATCTCACCTCACTACCATAAAGGCGCATGAAACCAGGGTAGTAAGAAAGGATGGTAGAATCAGTGCAATAAAGTTCTCAAATGCAGAGAGAAAATGTGAGTACTTAAATGAGGTGCTTCTGCTTTCTAGTAGGGTAGAACAATTCACCCTCTTGGTAAATGATTGCACTGCTTAAAAGGCAGGGAGTGGTAGAGGTGGAAGGAGGGTGAGACTAAGAATAAGGAATTGTTTGGTGAAGAATTTGACAGCAGATCCTGGGCCAGGCACCAGGCACCCTAGAAGAAACTGAACGTCATGAAGAAGTCAGAGAAAGAGGCTAAGAATGTGGAGAACTTGTTTGCAGAAAGGAATGGCAAGTAAATGTTCTGGGCCCTGAGAACTAGTGTTCTAATGTTTTGGGTTATACTACCTCTCCCACACCCTAATTCATGAATGAAAGCCTCTGGGACACAAGAGTCTGGTGTTTCCGAGCACGGTGGGGAGTGATGGCATTAGCAGTAGGGTCGCCCGGGGTGGCGGCTGGGGTAAAAGCCATGGTAGTTCTTCCAGTGAATAGAGTGCAGGTCAAGCATTCACCGGAAGGAGCGTCGGTGAGGGGGTGAGCTAGCGAAACTGTACAAACCTAAGAATTCTGGGTGATCCCGAGCTGGGGGTGTGTGTGGGCTGTGGCAGAAGCGCTGGCTCTCGGGTAATGTGGGACAGAGTGACCCCGGGTGACTGAAAGCCTGCTTTTACTTTCAAAGTGCTGTTAATCATTGCCTCTTAGATATTTCAAGGTAAACTTGAATCCTATTCCTGGCTGAATTAGTAAACACTGGGAGTCACTGGAATTTAAATCAGCTAGATTTTTCTGCTTAATGGGACCATTCTTAATTCCCTGTCATAGTTCACCACAGCGAAAACAATCTTTAACCATGACATAGTTTACGTAATGACAACAGGGCAAAAACTGTTCACTAATACGATTTTTATAGTGGTGTCTTTAATGAACAGTTTGCAAATTATGGGATAACACAATGACCAAAATACTCTTCCATTTTTTTTAAAGATATATTTAATTCCAACTTTTCCTTCAAGTGAGCTCGATTTGTTAAAACTAGTTTTCCTAAGGGGGCAGAAGCCAGCGCTTATAACAGTTTATATCCATTCAGCTCACAGTCTATGAGGAGGCACATATAACAGCTTGATGCAGTGGAAGGAATATTTTAGCTTTAGTCAATACACTAGTTTACCTTTTGTTATTATTTATTAATTAGAAAATGAGAAGAAATCAAGCAATATCATTAACATTTTTCTTTTGTGTTTGCCCATGTACCTATGCATTTCTAAATAAGTTGTTTAAAATTTGATCCTATCTTTCCAATATGAACATTTCTTATTCCAGAACATGTCGGAGGTATGGGCATGTTGGGCTCTCCCTAAGCCTATATAAAAATGGAAAGAAAATAAATACAAGAGAGTTCATTTTTACATACTATTGTCAAGAGTAAGTTCCAGTTATTCTCTTTTCATGGTAGTAGCTATGTATATTTTATATTATTGTAAATCTGGAAGGCACTAAAACTCTAAGGAAAGCAAATTTCATACGTGCCAAGTATTTGAAGAACTTCTCAATATATTTATTAATGATAGAAATAATAAAGATGACAGCATGGTTTTAGAAATGTGACACACAAACATAAATTCTGACCCAAAGCTAGACTGCTCCTGGGCATGCTAAGGTGTGGCTAATAGGTCGTGTGTGACTATCGGGTCTCATAAAGCATGTCAGAGACAGTGTTCATCTCACCTATAAGGAGTTCCACCGGCCCACCAAGGCCCAGAGAGGCCATAAAATACAAGAGCAGAGAAAACCTCCCATCTGGGAAGCAGTCTGCAGTGGAAGAGGAGAACATGCAACAGTCCAGCAAAAGGTCAAGTGTAGGAGTCTAGTAAATAGCTTATCTAAGGAGAAGGAGTATTTCAACTTTCATCTAAGAGCCTGACTACAAGAATGAAATTTTTGGCTGAAAACATAAGCAACAGTCCAGCAGTTGTGCAAGTGTCTCTTTCAGAGTCTGCTTGCATCGTTTCAGTGCGTAGATACTTCTGATCTGTGTCGATGTTTTCCTTAATACTGGGTCTTATTTTAGAAAGACTTCATGATGAATGGGTTGGCAGGTCACAGCGAGGCTCCATGGGTCAAAATCTATAGTCTGTGCAAGACCATGCTTTGACTTGGTCTCCCAGTGCCAGAGGGACACTGGGCCATAGGATAAGGATTAACCATTTATTCAGAAATTTGGAAGCCATGAGAGTGTTTTAGGCATCACAGTGACATGATGTGATGTTTGTTTGGAAAAGATAAATCTGGCAGTTGAAGGGAAATAAACTGGAAGAAAAGTAATGAAGTGTTTTTGGAAATAACGGGAGATTAGGTCATGGCCAACTGAGATGGAGGTGGCGCACATCACGAGAGATGGAAGATTCAAGAAACGCTTTGCTAGAGTTGCTTTGGGCAGACGTGGGCCACAAGAAAGGGAAATCAAGGACTTTTGGTCTCATCAAAAGGCTGAGGAGAATGAATGAAATGGGGAGTCTGGGGGAGAGGCAGGTTTGGTTGGAGAAAGGACGGGGCAGGAAACTGACAGTTCTTTGGAGCTTGCACTGCTCATAGGACACCCAGGCTGAGATGTCAGTAGGTAGGTAATTGCGTTCAAACATCTGGAGTGCAGGAGAGAGGCCAGGACTGGAGAGAGAGGTTTTAAAGTGATGCAGCACAGAGTTCATGGGGTCATCTCTAGAAAACATGCAGAGAAAACAGAAAGAATCAAGGCCCGAGCACAGGTGACTCCAGTACTTGGAGGTCAGGCGTAGCAGACCTATGATCAAGGAGCCCCAGAAGGAAGTACTGTTCCATGCCGGAAGAAGCCACTTTGCTACTCAATAATATGAAACATGTGAGCAGGGGGCCAAGAACAATTACTTCAGACATCTTTAGATCGGATGCTCTGGTCAGCTGCTTAAAGAGATTCTGATGAGGTTTCATCTACTGGAAGGAGCTGAAATACACTTCAGCATGGCAAGTTTAATAAGAAGAAGTTACAGATTTTTCAAAATTACAAGTTCTCATCTCATCCAAGTTAGATGGGCTGTTATCAAAAAATTGAAAAATACATGCTGATGAAGATGTAGTGAAAAAGGATACTGTTGGTGGGAATATATTTAGTACAACATTGTGGAGAACAGTGTGGATGTTCCTCAAAAAACTAAACACAGATCTCCGCCATGATACAGCTACCCCATTTCTGGGTATACATCCAAAGGAAATGACATGAGGATACCAAATAGACACTTGTATTCCCGTGTTTATTGTGGCACTATTCATAATAGCTAAGATATGGAATCAACAGATGAGTGGATAAAGACACTATGATATATACATCCTGCATATATATTATTCACTTATATAATAGAATATTATTCACCCCTAAATAAGAATTAAATCTTTTCTTTGCAGCAAAATGGATGGAAGTGGAGGGTGTTATGTTAAGTGAGCTAAGCTAGACACAGGCAAAATAGTACTATATGTTTTTTCTCCTATGTGGATGTTAAAAAAAATTAACATGAATGTAGAACAGTGATATCACTAGGGTTGAGGCTGGGAACAGGGGGCAGGAGAAGAGGTAAAAGGGGGTCTTTATTTGGTCAGTGCACTCTGTCTGCATATATTGCAACGTCACACAGAAGCTCATGAATATGTACAACTAATACATGTGAGCAAATGTGAGCACAATCTAGCTTTTAAATTAAAAGGCAATATTTTAATTAAGATAGTTAGAAAATAGCTATGAGGTGGCTTCAATGCATGTTATTTACTCAAACGACTTCAGGGTCAGCGTGTACCTCATAGTGCCTCTCTTACATGGTTGCTGTTTGTAAATGTTCTTCCCAGAGAATTTTATTCTCTAGTCATCCAAATTCTCCAGGGCAGCTCTGAATTTGTAATTTGTAGTTCGACACAAAGACTGTGACCTCACCGTACAGCTTCTGTAAACTGGCCGTGTACGCTGTGGGTGTGATATAGTGCGCGGGCAGAGGTGGGTGCAGCTTCCCCTTACTTTCCTCTTGCGGTGTGGACTCTCAAGCAGTGCATGTGGCACTAGCACCGCTGGCTCCAGAGTGGCGTGTGGTAGACCTGGAGAGTGTGTTCTAATGCCCCTCGGCTGCTGAGCTTTTGCATGATTGGGCAGCCAGGACACTAATTTCTCTTAGTTTTAGTTTCCCAGTCAATAAAATAGAAACTGCTTCATCTGAATCAAAACATTATCAATTAAATCAGTTAATACATGAAAAGCATTGGAGGTTTGAAGAACCATGCTGTCATTTTGCCTTCGCATTTCTGCGGTGCTATCTGAGTGTTCTGCATAGGTAATCTGACTTGGATTATATAATTGCATAAAGAAAAACCAAGCTTTTAGTTTCCTTACAAATGTTCAATTTATATACGCCGCTAAATAGTGGCAGTTCAGCTGGCAAGGCGTTGAGCTCCTGAATATCTGAAGCAGTGGTTCTCAGTCTTGGTCACGCAAATGATTCAAAGTTAAAAGTTGGGAAGTTTAAAAATTCTCATTACCCAGGTCAGATGCAAATCAGCTGGTGTGGGAAGGAGGCCGAGGTACCTGTTCTTTTAGGGCTCCTGAACAAACCTATGTGCAGGTGTGATTTAGAAGAGCTGACATAAATTATCATATTGTGAAGGGGAAACAGGGAGGAAAAATACCAAAAACGTTAATAGTGAACAGATTATGCGGCGTTTCACATGAAACTTAAGAGCCTCTTTTTATGGTTTTGGGTTCTGTCGCCTATGGGTAAACTAAGGCAGCTGGAACTGATAAGCGTTAAGTTCCTTCCAAAAATTTTATTTTTCAAAATCTTATATCCCTGTTTGTTCTGTTTTTTTTTTTTTTTTTTTTTTTTTTATTTCTATAGCTCCAGTGGCAGGCTCACTGTGCGTGTATGTGTGTGTAAATCTGTATTTGACTCTCACGAATACTTTTTAAAGTGATGTTTGCAGAGGGTAGTGTTTTCACTGTAAGGAGGAATACAGAACTTCAGGATTTAATAACTTGGCCAACACGTATGCCCAGGAAAAGCAAACATGAGACTAGAACTTCATATTTTAATACCTACTCCTAGTATTTGTTTTCTGGAAGAATACAGAGTTAAATGAAGAACTGGGGAGGCCGGGAGAGGCAAAAGGCAAGTAAACCATGCGGTAGGAAATGCTGTGTTAAAGCATGTTGAATAGTGCTCGGGTATGAGGGCAGACACCCTGATTTGTAATATTTGCCTATTTTATGGTGTAATTATTTCCACAGTGTTAGCTCTCTCATGGGATGTCACTCAAGGAGGGGTTGGGAAGAGACGCGCACAGTAACGGGATGGTACGAGCTGGCTCCAGCACGCCCTAATAGTTGACAAATGTTACACCGGAACTTGAAAGAAAGTTTTAACAAACTGTCAAGATTTACAACTGAGTGGTGGGAGGAGCGTACTTTTGGAACAAAGAACAGTTGTTGAAAAATCTCTAGGCTTTTTGTAGTCACTCAAAGTTTTTACCTCCGCCTTCTCAACCATTTCAGCCTGAAATCAAGGCAGATAAAGCAAAAGCAAAAGGGAATGGAACTAAATCCATGCCTCAGCATAGCCCTGAGTGCTTGCACTGCGAAAGGCAGCTAATGTCAGTAGCATGGAGCAAAACACCTGGAAGCTAATATAAATACACCTGCTGAAGGAATCATGATGCTTCTTACTCGATTCATGCATAAACTTCTCACCCAATTTTATACAAATTATGTATTCAAGGTATTCGGAATAACTATTTGTTAAAAACTGAACTTGTCATTCAAATTAGATGAAAACAGGGCACTGATCTCAGTGGATTTGTAATTTCTTGAATCTGGGTGAAAAAGAAATACTTAGCTACTAAAAGGAATGCAGTACTGAAATCAGAGAACTGGGCTGAGGTTGTGTTATATGTGTGGCTGTGGATATAAACTTTTTAACCTCCCAGTGTGCTCTGGGTAGAGTGTAATTTAAAACTTTATTAACTTCTTATAATCTCTAGAGAATTGAAAACCTCACATCATCATCTGATTAAAGGTTCCTGTCTGGGTTATTATATATTAAATGCAACCCTTGGCCTAGATCAAGGAAGAAGAGGAAGAGAATTATTTTGGAAAATAGTGCCTGAGATTTGGAGAATGACTAATACATAATTTCAATTTCAAGACAGGTATTAAGAAATAGAGGCAATGTTTAAGGCACCTGGGGTACAAATGATAAGTGGCTCTGAATATAAAGAAAAAACTGGAGAATAAGGTTAATCTTGCCTGATATATTTAGAAAATAAAACAACGTAGCGTGATATATAAAGCTTTGAGTACTAAATAATGAAAGAAACCCTGTAAGTCACACTAAGTAGTAAGTGAAGTCAATGGGAGCCTTGCCTAATTATCTGAAGAAGGAAATAAGAGAAACTTGTTTTATGAGAATGTTCAGACCTCAGTGGTTTGCTTTCTAAGCTTAGTATAACTTACTAGATGAGATTCCATTCCATTTTCTGGTTCCAAGGAAGAAAAACAGACTCTACAATGGAAAAGCAAATCCCAATTTTAATCAGGTCAGGGAGCAGCTAGATTGTCGCTGCCTGGCATTTATCAGTAGGTTTTGCAGCATTTCAGAAGTATTCCTCTTCTACCTGCTCTTTATAATTTTCGTTATAGCAAAGCTTTATCTCTATCCTGTTAACCAGAAGGTAGAACTTTAAAAAAAAAATGCTTTCTCCTAAATAGGGGGAGATTGTAGTTTCCCTTCTGTGCTGTCAGTTTTGGCAGGGGCCTTGGTCAGTATACCCGATCCAACGAAGCTGTCTGTGACACCCAGAAGCTACACTGTCGAGCTAAATTGGAGTTGGGAGTGGCAGCATAGGACAGGATTGGAAAAACTATTCTGACCCATCCTATTTTCTTAACATGGAGAGGGTATTTTGGCAACCCAAATGCCTATGTGTTATAGCCCTGTGCTACTGAAAACAATGATAACATTTTTACAAAGAATATTGCCTCCCTCCCATTCAATAGGATGACAGTTTTATGTATTCCGGGCCATGTTAATAAAGGAAGGCAAACCATGCATTTAAAAAAAAATTTTCTCAGAATTCATCAGTTATTTTCCAAAACTCTTCTCACCTGCTCTGGGTAGCCATCCATACTCCTTTGCCCTTTAGTTTGAATTAAGCACCGTCCAGGCTGCGGTCCCCGGGTGGCCTGTGAGGAGGGGATCTGAATAGGCAGTGGTGACTGAAATTGCTGGATGGTCACTTTGTTTATGCTTCCCTCGTATGGCTGCTGCTCCCGGCTGCGATGCTGAAGGCTTTGGGACCCCATCAAAGTCTGGATGTGGCTACCTGCCTGTGGAGAAGACAATCTGTCAGGCAAAGGTTCCTGGTGCCCAGAGGATGTGATTATCGTGGAGAACATGTCTGGAACACCTCTCGGGGACAGAGGAACAGTTTGGGCTTTCAGTCACAGCTGGAAAGGGTAATGAAGAAACAGTAAGGGTCTGCCGACTGCATTTTGTGCAAATGTTAATAGCTGAGTGAGCTAGCATTAAATGTATTTGTAGTCATCTGGCGGCTGGCCAGAGGTGATTTTAACCCTTATTTTTAAGGGAACAAAGTGCAGTGTGAAAAATCTCAGGCAGAGAAAGCAGTCATAACTTGAAAATGAAGTGGAGCTCTTGTTGACATTTTATTTTGAAAAATCACAGACTATATACTATATATCACATATATATATCATAGATACTATATATCATAGATATATATACTATAAACAGGATAAGGGGGAAATGGTAAAGCCTGTTTTCTAATTCTGAAACAAAAGAACTGAGTCAGGTTTATGTACCCAAGCACATAGTGAGCTTGTTCAGGTGCGTATAACCAACGCTTATTATTTTTTTGCATTATTAAATCAAGAACATGACTCCCCAAATCCTTAAATTATATTAAAAATTAATTATGTGACAAATTCCTGTGAGGAGCTGTAGTCAGTGGAGGCGCTACATATGGAAAGGTCTTTAAAATAAACTCGGCACATTTCTTTAATTACTTTAAATATCTTGAGGAGCAATATAAGAAACCAGAAATAGGAGCAAAAGTTTCCTAAGTGTCAGTCTACACCAGCATAATGAGAACACAATTATCAACTCAGTCCAACACTGTCCATTACACTTCAGCTATGATCGCAGACCAATTACCTCATAAATACAACTCGGATAACCTCATAAAGGGCAAATGCTTCCTCCTCTACTGTATCTGTTCTCTTAGAAATCTATATTAAAGAGAAATCACAAGCTTTTCAGCCATTGTGGAAGAATGAACACCCTTCTGCTCAGGTTTTTCCTTACTACAAGTTTGACTCTTTTCTGCCTCCATGGAATTTCATGGTCTCTTGTTTGATAGGAAACAGAAGCCATGATAAAGCCAGTATTGTACTCTGAGCTGTTGTATATATATATTTTAAAGGTAGGGTCTCACTGGGTAGCCCAGGCTGACCTCAAACTCGGAGCTGTTTTTTTTTTTTTTTTAAGATAGGGTCTCACTGTGTAACCCAGGCTGGCCTCAAACTCATGGCAATCTTCCTGCCTCAGCCTCCAAGTGCTGGGATGACAGGCATGTGCCACAATGCCCAGCAGAGCTGTTGTGTCCTGAAAGAACTCAGTAGCACACTTAGCTACACAGAGAAAGCAATCTCCTGCTGTTGGAGGAGCTGGAAGTGACTAGTGACTAGGCAATCCATTGATTTCTATACTTCCACGTGCTTCTCCCCTCTACTGGGGGAGCATTACTGGGGCTTCAGTCAGTTCCTCAACCAGTGGGAGGCAGGGAGACTGGAGGTTTAACTGAAAGCGATCACACAGATAAGCAAAACATTTTTACACCAGACAGCTCAGAAGGAAACTGGAATAGAGCTTTGGTGCTTTACTATATAATCTACATGAGAAAATCAATAATGACTACTTAAGGATTCCTTTGTTGATTAATCCAGCGACGTCTACCCAAGGCAAAAACCTAATTCTCTGCATTATAGAGCTATAAAAGCCTTAAGACTTATTTTTCTACTGATGGGACTACTGAGCTCAGGATTATGTGGATTTTGAACTCTTTGAGAGAAAGCTGCATATCCTATTGACTTTTTTTAATGACTGGGATAGTAACTGCATTTAATAAATAATAGCTACTAACCAAATACTTGGTCCTGAGCAATGTGCTAAAATACTGCACAAGTATTACCTCCTTTAATCTTTGCAACAGCTGAAGTTGGGAGAGGTTCAATAGCCTTTTTTTTTTTTTTTTTGGTTTTTCTCCGGTACCAGGAACCGAACTCACGACCTTGCACTTGCCAGGCAGGCGCTTTGCCGCTGAGCTAAATCCCCAGCCCCTCAATAGCCTTTCTAAGGACTCTGTAGGTCTGGTAAACTGGCAGGACCAACATTTGAAGCAAGGCTGCCTATCGAAGGTCATGCCCTGAAGCACTGCATTATATTGTAGCCATCTTCTCCCAAACCAGTATACTCCTCTACTAGTTGGACTGTGAATTGAAATGCGACAAAAGGATCGGAGTGTTGAGGGAGGATACATTTCACTTCTTTAGTACTTCTTGAATTTCCCTACTTGGTAAACTAAGTCTATCCACTGCATTAGGTGCTAGGCCCATGACTTCAAGCTTTGTAGCTAAGGAGGGTGATTTGTATTGAGTGATCTGTCTGTTACTATGGAGTAATGAAGCTGCTCTCCTGCCTTGGCAGAACGGAAAGCAGACATGGAAGGAATGTTCTGAAAAGAGATGTTGTTTACAGCAGCAGGAGGGCTTCTTTCACTCTCTTGGGCTACAGGTTGTGGTGTGTGGGGGTGGGGAATTACAACTGTAGAAAGCAAAGAATTAGCGCTAAAACGCATGTAAAGTTAAACAAACAAATGGCATAAAATACCTAGAGGGACAATTATGATGCGGAAGGACTATAAAAGAAAATTTTCTTTTTTTTTTTGAGTGGTACAAAGGCTTAAGAAGAGCTAACAAGGATGGTACTACGATGTATACAGAACTGATGAAAATGTAGATTTCGGAGGCTGGACTTGGTCAGGCAGAGGGCTGGCACTGTGATACTGACTCACAGTGCAGGGGAATTTGAACATGCAGGCTTCTGGGAAGATTGTCTGTGCCACATTTTGAATGATAAAAAGAAACAGAGAAATTTGACATTTCTTTGGAACTTTCAAGGGGAAGCTGGACAAAATAACACATATATGAGAGGATAGTGATGGAATATGGCATTTTCAAGTTGACCCCAAACAATCAAAGTTTACAGGGAAAAATCTCCAATATCCGTAGGACCCAAATACATGTTTGTCAAAACTAGAATAAATACTTGTTGATTTGACAGCACATGTTCTGTATGTGTGAAATTTATTCCACAGCTAATGAGGCTCATTATGGGAAATTGTTAAGTATTTGGGAGTTTGTATGACATGAAAGAAATGGCTCTATCACTATAAAAAATGTCTTCGTTCATACTGTTCTTTCAGAAAAGAGTGTTAGATCGAGAAGTATCTTATATTACCTAATTTGGTCATCTATTTTACCAGTCATCTTGGCTTTTGAACAACTAGAGCTTATGTCCAAAATATCAAACAGTCTCACAGGATGACAATTTATGCTACTGAGAATATTCAAAGGAACATGACTCGTTCTCTGAAATGAAGTCTAAAAGAGTTTAAAAAATGTTCAAGAGCAGGGTCAACCATACAGAATCATCTCCAAAGGATAACTTAGTAATAGATGTCAAGGACTCAGCATTTATTCAAACAGACATTTTCAATCATTTGTAAACTAGCAGCAACAAAACCACAGTCCTACGCTTCCTATTGGTATCATATGTTCTACAGTTTTTTTTTTTTTTTTTAAAATGCAGTTAAATTTGAAGAAGTAAACCAGTAGCATTTCTTTTTTCAGGTAGATAGAATGTAGTTTTCCCTACTTCTTTCATTACATACTATAAAAACCTTGAGGTTTATATGTAGACAGATATAAGAAGACTGAAAAATAAAAAGAAGGCACTCAGCAAGGGGTCTATGGACCCAGTCACAATACTTTCATAAGTTTCTTCAATTACATATCCAGATTTTTTTTTTTTTTTTTGGTCTTTTTGAGGCAGGGTCTCAATACACAATTCAGGCTGGCCTTGAGCTCACTTTGTAGCATAGGCTGGTCACAAACTTGAGCCGATCCTCCTGCCTCAGCCTCTCAAGTGCTGGGATTACAGGCATGAACCACCACGTCCGGCCCTACATATCCAGGTTTGGTGCTGAAGAAGTGAACAGTCTGAGAATGCCAATGGATCCAGAGAAAATGAACAAATAAACACAAAACAGTTGTGCTTTCTAGTAAAAGGATCATCAGCCCACCAGACAAAATGATGTTGGACAGTGAATCCTGTACTATATCCAACCACCATAGAAAAAAATATGGTCTACCATGAACAGTGCCACCAAAGGCCAAGTAGGGAGCACAGACGTTTACCTTCATGAAGATGTGACAAAGCTCCAACATTTCTGCTGATGTCGTATTAGGGGCGACCGAGTGAAACCCCACACCCCTATCCTCAATGCTCAGTACTAAGCCCTGTTCTCCAACAGTGTCTCTGGAGATCACATGAGCAATCTGAACTTCCAATTTCATCCAGCAGCAATGAGGCACCTTCTAGAGAAAGTCTCTTGACAGTCAGGACTTTCACCATCACCTAGTGGTAATGACATGACACCAACTAAGACATCAGTGCAGACCACGTGGGGAGATGGGACTTCCATTCCCACTGAACAGTGCTGTGGAGTTCTTGCCTCAATGTCAAGGATGGCTGAGTGGGAAAACTAGATTTCTACTGACTCTTGATAACAAGTCAGCATGCTACCTTTCCTCAGCTGTAATGATGTCGGAGAAAGCCAGCTAAAACAGAGAGCATAACTAAGACCTAGACTTTTATAACATAATATGAGAGTGTCCAGGTTTCAGCCGAAAATAATTCATACCAAGAGGCAAGAAGATCTCTAACCAAATGAAAAAAGGTAATCAATACACGCCAACAGTGAAAGGACAAATTATACAGATAATTAAAAAAAAATCTGATTTTAAGGCCCCATAGAAAATGCTTTAGTGACCAATTACACACATTCTTGTAACAAATGGGGTAGGTGAGAAGGCATCAGCAAGGACATATAAAATCTCAGTAGAGAAAGATGTAAAGAAGAAACAGACAAATTTCAGAGCTGAAAAATACAGTAATTAAAATAAAAGGCCTGCCCAATGGATGACCTTAATAATAGATTGCAGATACAAGAGGAAAGAACTAGAGA